GGTGGGGCTTCAGAAAAGAGTAGGGCAGGAGTGGGACAAAGGGATTTGGATTTGGGTGATTAGATAGTTGGCAACCCTAGAGTCAACTCTTGCTTAGACTACAACTTTAGGATGTAGAAAGTGCATTTACAATGGGCGATGGACAGTGTTCCCTTTAAGCTGTGGGGCAGCAAAGCTTCACAAGTGATTAATCAGCCCCGCCCAGTCATTCAGCTCCCAGTGGGCCCTGTGGTCCAGCCCCCATCTGGCTGCAGAAAGGGCTGGTGGCTGCCCCCCTCCTGCTATGGCACAAGTAGGTGGAGAGGCCACGATCTGGTGGACAGAGGAGAGCTGGCGAGTGTAGCGAGCAGGGGGCAGAGCCCCCTAGTTTTGTATAAAATTAAAACTGGCCTGTCTCATCAGAGTTCCAGACCCATTTTACTGAGGGAGATTAGGATAAAAATCTGAACTCTGGGTTCTTTTCCCTTTGAACATGTAGAGAGGTTCACTTGATGCTATGGACTGTCTTCCTTCTCCTGTTTGCTGAGCTTTGTACATCTCAGGTTGTACCGATATGGATGTGTTTATCCTGAGTTGACTAGTGATGACTAAGTATTGTGAAAAAGAACAAGGTGGAAAGCAAAACATATCACTAGTCCCATTAGCTATATCTACTTGCTAAAGCATAACTTGGTTAAAATGAGAGTATATAAATTTGTGCATACACCCCAGGCATGCGTAAAATATCCCTTTAATCTGAACTGACTTTATGTATTGGATCCCTTGTCATATGGAGTTATATATATTATTTGTGATTATTTTAAAGAAAAAAATTCCTCCCCTTCATCGCTCCTCTATTTGTACAAGGATGATGACTTTTGGGTAATTAGACTACATTCCTTAGAGTGCAGCTTGATTCCTGCTATCAGATGCTCAGCTGCTGTAAATTGTCCTAGCTTCATCCAAGTCAATCGAGGTATGGCTGCTTACACCAGCTGAGGATCTGCCATCTGGCATGTGTGGTATGTTGAATATGTATATCAGCACAGTCTAACTAAAACAAAAGACCAGATTTTATGAGATACAAATTGGTCAAGCGCAGAGCTTGGGATTCAAAAATAACTAGATAAATTCATGGAGGTCAGGTCCAGCAATACTTACAAATCAGGATGGGTAGGAATGGTGTCCCTAGGCTCTGTTTGTCAGAGGCTGGAAATGCATGACAGAAGAGGGATCACTTCGTAATTACCTGTTCTGTTCACTCCTTCTGGGGCATCTGGCATTGGCCACTGTCAGAGGACAGGATACTGGACTGGATGGACCTTTGGTTTGACCCAGTGTGGCCGTTCTTGTATACTTATGTTCAGTGAACTGAAGATTAAGGTTGTTGGACGCTGGTGTTACCAGCCTGAACAAATCCGGTCTTTCCCTGGTGGCAAGACAAGGAACTTCATCAGATTTGAGGGAACAAGGCTTATGGACAGCCGAGAATACAGCAGAGCAAAATACTAAAGCAGATGGTAGCAAAAGTATTTTCTGCAGCTCTAGTATTTAGGCTATTTTAATGGAATGCACATATTGCTAGCCAGTAAGCTGCAGATGCCATCACAAACTGTTGCTCCTTCCACCTGCTTCGTTGCAACTGTCCTCTCTCCTGTGGCCTCGGCAAGCTTTGTCTGAAAGGGATGGTACTTGGTCCTTCTGTGAAGACAGGGGACTGGACTGGATGACCTTTCAAGGTCCCTTCCAGTTCTAGGAGATAGGCAATCTCCATTAATTTAAAGGCAATAGCTACTCTGTTTAGTAAACTTTGACTCTGTTTTGCAATAAACTATTTCTACTGTTTTCCTAAGCATTGTATGGAAAGTTCACACATCCCAATCTGCTTCCAAGTTGCAACAGAGTGGGAGGGTGACCCGTTTGACAGGTACATGAGAATATATTAAAATTGTCCAAATAGTTTTAAAACTAACTATGGAATGATGATCAGCATTTTATTCCCTTCTCCCACAAATGCTGCTCTAAATATATTCTGAGGGCTAGTCGAAGCAGTCACATGGGTACAGACTGAGAGCGAGTGCCTTTAAGCTGGAGGCTACTTAATTGCAGGCTGGGTGGCTGGCACATATCTAAGTTTAGCTGCAATTGCTGTGAAGGATGTAAGAGAAATAGAAACCACTAAAGCTTAGTTATTGTAAATGTCTGAGGAGGGGGAAAAAATCTAAAAGTTTAAAGTTGATAAAGATTTTGTATTTTCTAGAAAAATGAGGTGAGCTCCAAACTCAGCTTGTACATTCCCCAGTCCTGCCAAAGACCAAACCCCTCTTTTTTGGTGAGCTGTAATTGCACTTGCCACTGGCCTATAAAGGCAGCTGGAAATAAATACGTATGGCACTGGGGTGGCATCAGGTCCCTGAGATCATGTCTAATTTTAACCTCTGGAGAGGAAACAACTTAGCCACGAAAGGGAAATGTAATTCTTCCGAGCTTGTTTTGCTTTTCTAAATCACAGTTAAAATCTGGAATAATAATTTTATTATTCAGTGTTACCTCAGAGGACTTCTTAAAATGGGTTGCACTATCCTGGGTTTGATGACTATGCACGAACATCAGATGGAATTGATAAAGAAGGTGAATTTTGGGAATAGTAGCAGTGGTTGTTGAGGCTATTGATTGGAATTTGCTAGGCTGGTTTTCAATACTGTTGCTCTCTTTTGAACTTTGTGTATCGATTGCACATTGCAGATAAACAACCAGCTGCACTGAGTTATTGTACTTGGAAGCAGACCAAGTAAGGACAGCCTGGAATTAGAGATGAGAGTATAAATTATGGTTTTCCAATATGCAAAGTTGGAAACTTTATTAGTATAGTTTTATTTAAACAAGAGGGAGGGAATCTAAATACTTGGATTTTTTTTCCATCTTTGAAAAAGAAGATAAAGGTTGGCAAAAATGATTACAGAAAAAAACAGGCAAAGTTTTGCATAATTATTTGTATGGTACCATTAGTATTGCCCTGGCTCAGTTTGAAAACCTGTCAATTATAAAATACTAGTGTGTGAGGCTGACGGTTGATCAGGCAAAGTCATTCTAGATGTGTAGATTACACTTATAAGAAGGTTCAAGAAATTAAATATATGTAATATCATTTTTTATTAATGTGCTTGCAAAAGGGACGTAAAAGAAATGTTTTAAATTTGTAGGATTTCAACTTCAAACATTATTAATTTTATTGAATAATTACTATTGATTGTAAATTTGAATCAGAAACTCATAAAGCTTCCATTACTCTTTCCATAACTAATTTGAATTATTTTGTGATTTGTAAGAGTAAAAATTTTCTTTTTACTAAAATGACAGTTGAGTAGGCGACTTGATTTTAATTTTGTTAGCAAATATTTTATTAACTCTAATTATAATAGGCATGACTTTTTTCTAAGGAAAACAGAAATAATTATTTAAAACTTTCAGCATATTCCAGTGTAAAAAATAGTGCATTCAACTAATTTAAGTGGCAGTATTGTTTATGCAAAATCTGGTATCTGTTAGTTAATTGCGAAGCATGACTTTATTTTGCACAAACAAATCCACAAACAAAAAAACTCTTCAAAATATATAATAGATATAAAATGGTTTTAGAAATCTGGACACAAATTTTTATTGATCATGAGATTGATTCATTTCCAGTGCAATCAGCGGGAGTCTTCCCACAGACATTTAATTAGTTGGATTGGGCCTTCACTCTCATTGTTAATGTCCGTTTATTAAAAAGATAATTGATATCTTTCCAACCTCTAGAAGCGGCCCTGTACAGTTCTACTGGATCTTAATGAACCCCCACTATTGAACCACTCTGTGGAGTGGTCAAGAAGTATTGGAAAATGCAATTTTGGCAGGAAGAATTGCTGTGGTATAATGCAAGGAACTTCTTTCCTTCCCTGTTTTATCCACAGGTTCTGAATATGCTGTGTATGCAGTACTCCTAGTACAGGTTGAAACTCTCTAAACTGGGACTCTCTGGTCTAGCCCCTGGTGGAAGTCTGACGGCTTGGAGCCCTATGGCCAGCAGAGCAGCAGGCTGTTGGCAGCAAGCTGCCCTGCGGGGCTGGGAAGTCCGGTGAGGCTGGCAGGGCAGTGGTGCTGGTGGCAGGGTGGGGGACCTAGCCGAGGGGCCAGTGGTTGGGCCTGGGCTGGTGGGACCACTGGCAGGGAGGCCAAAAATTACCTTCCCTGGTCTAGCAAAATCCCTCATCTGGGACCGGTAAGGTCCCGAGGGTGCTGGACCAGGGAGGTTCAACCTGTATTTATTGCTACTGACTGGTAAGAATGAGACTAGTACCAGTAAAGAAAACAGGCAGTGCACTTGTCCTTCTGTTTTTTATAAATACATTGTTTCATAGATTCCATAACGCATCCTACCAGTGTATTTCTAGAGGATTATTTCATATATTGGGTGGTTAAAGTCACTCAGTTCTTGGCATCATATACCATGAACGCTGAGAAAGGCACTTATTCGTTTCATAATAAAAAGATTTTATGTTAGCTATTTATTTTGGAAACATATGTACTTGGGCAATAACAAACTCCCAAAAAACTAATTGGCTGAAAGTTGGTTTTGCTCAGCAAAGTAACTATGGATTTTAACATGCAGGTTTTTTATTTTATTTTGAATAAGTAAATAGTTATATTTAAACTTTCATAATCAGTGACATATTATGAATGGTAATGTAATACCCCCTCCAAAAGAGTTGTGAAGTTGTAAAAGGATGGAATTTTAGAAAGGCAGAAGAGTTAAATGAATAACACCAGTTATGACAGTGACACAAAAATAATGAATGAACTGTTTTCTTTTTTAACACTTAACCTGCTCCACTTGCCTGGAGATTAAGTTTGTACTTTTTTGTTGAAAAAATAGACTCATAATTCATATTCATAATTCATAACTCATCCGATCAATGAATTTTTCTACTGAAGTTTAGGTATTTATACCTTGTGAATATATTCTTGGTTTTTCATTGCAGGATACTGGGGTTGGGAAATCGAGTATAGTTTGTCGTTTCGTCCAGGATCATTTTGATCACAATATCAGCCCTACTATTGGGTAAGTACCCTGTATAATCTTTTTTTTAAGTGCTTCACTGCTACCAAAATCATCTTATTATTTCTACCACAAGGGTCTTCTCTCCCCCATATTCAAGACTGCGAAACTCACCCACATTTTCCCCTCACTTCTTTGATGCCCTGTTCTGCTCTTCATATTCCAAGTAAACAAGTAAACTTCTCTTTCTCTTTTTTTCATTTTCTCATCTCACTCTCTGTTCATGTCATTGTTTCCATTTATAATGACCTCTCAATTAATATTCACCATGCTTCTTTCTTCCCAACAGCTAATCAGTCTCTTGGTTTGTGAAGCTGTCATAAACACTCAGCACGACTCTGTGTTTTGTATTGTACAGACTCATAACTCTAGACTGGAGGCTCTTTACCCTCTAAGCTCCGACTACAATTATGGCATAATATAAACAGTGCTAGCTTTAAGTCTGCTTGCTGGGTGATGATGACAGGCCACTAAATGTCCCTTTCAGTGTGCTAAGTGGCCAGGAAACCTGAGTAAGTCAGGACCAGATTATGCAGTTCTCATGGAAAGCAGGATGGGATTTAAGGCCAAATTCTCTTTTTATAACTAAACTAGAAGGCTTACCCAGCATTGTTCAGGTCCTTCAGGACAGGGGACTGGAGGTGTGGGGAGTGCAGGAGTCAGGGCAGGAGCTCGGGGATTTTGGGAGCTCAGGGCAGAGGGCTGGAGATGTGCTGAGTGCAGGAGTCAGGGCTAGGGGGTGAAGAAGGGCTCAGGGCAGAGTTCTGGGGATGTGAGGGCTGCTGGAGTCAGGGTTCGGGGATGAGGATGGGCTTAGGGTGGGGATCTTGGGGTGTAGTGGAGTGCAGGACTCAGGGTTGGGGAGTGAGGAGAGGATTGGAGTGTGAGAGGATGCAGGAGCCAGCAAAGGCCATGCTGGTCAGGTGGCAGCCCCCTGGGACTGGCCGCAGCAGAAGCCATGCTGCCCAGGCAGATACTCCCCAGGACTGGCTGTGGCAAGAGCTGTGCTGGCTGGAGGGCAGGTGGGTAGTTTACCTCTACTCCTGCCACCTGCTGCCCCAATGGAATTATAGCTGTCTTGGTTCTTGTCTCTGACCCCTTGTTGCACCCTGTGGTCATTACACAGTATAACTATCCCTTCTAGTGGCCCCCTCCCTTTCCATTTATGAGAAACAGTTGCATTCCAGGGATGTCCCATTCTCTTGGCACAACCAAACCCTGTACCTAGCTTTAAGTTATGATAAGAGGAAGTTGCATACCAAATTTGGCGGTCCGAGCTCTTACTGTTTAGGGGGAGTTCTTGAACAAACAGATGGACAGACAGACTTGTTCAGAAACAATCTCAAATATATAGTAGCTTTTGCACTTACATAAATGAACAGAACCTGAGCCATTGTTTCCTATTCTAGGAGCCATGGACCCAATAAATTCATATAAATTAGTTTCTCTTGTGGTAAGTAATCCTCTTCTTCATGGTGGTGTCTATCCCCTCACTAATAGCCTCTTAGTTCCCTCTACTGAACTGTGTAAGTTTCCTTTTTACCTCTCAAGAGTTTCTAGTTTTAAATGAGGTCTTGGACTATGCAGTATTGATGTAAGTCTCAAAATATAGGACTAAATTCTGCCTGGACATAAATGTGTTCAGTTTCCATTGAAGTCCATAGGATTTGTGCTTACTTAACTCCAGGACTGAATCTGAACTTTTGAATTAAGAAACCATGATCTATTCTAAATGAAGTTCGCCAACACATATACAACAAAGGAATGGAATTAAGAATTTAACTTGTGAAGGATTCCACAGAGTTCCAAGGCCTGGTCTACTCTAAAAGGGGACATTGAAGCAAGATACACAATTCCAACTACATTAATTAGGTAGCTGGAGTCGACGTACCTTGTTTCACATTTCCCCACCATCCCCACAGCAGGAGACCAATGGGAGCAAATGCTCCTGTTGGCTTCCCTTACTCCCTGCACAAGCAGGAGTACCTGCAGCTGGCGGGTGTGCCCTCTGAGTTCAATTTAGTGAGGCTTAACTGGACTTGCTAAATCAAACTCTGAAAGAGGGATTGTAGTAGTGGCAATTTTCCATTTAGTATGGAAAAAATTTTCCACTTAGCTATAGGTACTGCTAGACAAGGTATAAGTATTATAGTGCCTGTTTCCACATGCAGCAAAGCTTTTTTTATGCTTGAGGGAATTCTGCACCAAAAAATTAAAAATTTGGTGCACAGTATTTTAAAATTCTGCAAATGTTTATCAATAAATAATCATGGAGGCCCCAACATGGCAGTGGGGAGCACAGGCCACAGGCTGCTTGAAGGTGGGAGATCACCCTGCAACCACGCTCTCCTGAGAAATGGACTTGGCGATGAGACTGCTCCCAACCTGACAGACCACAAGGGCCATTCCAGGACCCTGCCCCTCAGCATCAGGCACGCTAGGTGTGAGCAGGCAGCTCAGCCCAGCAGGATCCAAGTATAGAGGGGCTCAGTGTGGGAGGATACAGGTGTGGCATGGGAGGGCTCTGTGTGGGGCAACCTGAGTGCAGACAACTCATTTGGTGGGGCAAGGTGTGTGTCTGTGTGGGGATCTTGATGCAGAGGGGTACACTGAGGGGTTCCAGATGCCAGAACAATGGGACTCTGCAGGGGGAATCAGGTGCAGATGGTTGGGGCTCAGCAGAGGGATCTGGTTGTGAGAGAAGGGCTTAGCTGAGGGGGGCTCAGTAGGAGGGTTCAGGTGCAGCTGGGTGGTGCTCAGTGGGGTGTGGGTCTAGGTGTGGGGAGTTAATGGAGTGATCCAGGTGCAAAGGAGGTGGGGCTGATTGGGTTAGGGGTTTAAATCTGGGGGAGGGGGAGTATGGTCTGGGTGAAGAGGGTAAGGCTCCAGGCATGGTGGTTCAGCTGCAGTGTATTTGGGAGGAAAAGTTCTGGGTGCAGGGAAGAGGGCTGAGGCTTGGCAGGGTGTCTGGATGCACAGGGATTTGGTGGATGTGCGATCAGCTCCCCATCGGGTGACCAGTGTTCCCTCTACTTTTTCCCACTCCTGAGTAGAATGAATAAGTAGGAATAAGAGATCCTCCGGAAAAGGGCTTTATTCCGGAGGATCGCGCCAGTCTAGACGCTTTTTCCCGGCTTTTCCCCAAGCCGGAAAAAAAGCGGCGGACATGTTTATTTAAATCCGCGGGGGATATTTAAATCCCCTGCGGATTTCCCTATCCTGACTTACCTGCTTTGCATGACTATTCCGTTTTATGGGGCCAGTGTAGACGTAGCCATAGTGTTGAAATTAATGGAAACATGAATAATCTTCTGGTTCTAAACCATTATCAGTACTTTATCAGAGTAAAGACACCCCACCCATATGAAAAGAAAATATAATTTTTCATAACTATCGTGTTGAGGGGAAACAGACTTTATATATATAATTTTTAAAAGCTACACTTTGGCATAGTGAGTTAAATATTCCTAATATGTATTGTTACTTCATGTTTTCTGAGTAGGACAACTATGACGTAGATAATGTTTTTTTGCCAGATGAACTAATGTTCTTCTTTGAGAGATGTCCCCAGAAGTGCTCCACTTTAGATTGGTGCACTGCCACTGAGTCTTCAACTGGAGTCTTCAGAGCAGTGTCCCTGTCCACAGTCGTGTGCTCCCAGTTTGCAGGTGTTGTGCATGTATGAACCCCCCAAGTTTCTTCTCTACCACTTCTGGCCAGAGATGGCACTTGGAAGTGTTTCTTACCTCATTCCATGTTTTAGATAAGTAATTCCCCTTTCAACCTGTTTTTATTCCCCAGTTAGTTAGTTGCTTAGCAGTTCACGGTTTATAGTTATTTTTTCTTTAAAAACCCCCAACAAAACAGACATCCCCTCCCTCTAGTTTTTCTCACAGTTAATCCCTTCCTTTGGTTTAGCTAGATAGCTGGTGTCATGCCTGGCTCACTGGGTTTTAAGCGCTGCTTTACATTCAGAGACCTCATTCTTATGTCTGATGGACACACACAATGTGTCCGATGCCTCAGCAAGGCACATGTTTCTCAAAAGTGCCCTCATTGTGCGATGTTAAAATCCAGAGCTCGGCAAGACAGAGATTTGCGGCTCAAACTCATTCTCCTTGAGTAATCATTAAGACAACCACAGCAATACATGCAACATAGAGACCTCTTGGTTTCCTCTACTTTTAACTTACCCTTTCTCAATACCGACAGTTCTCCTGGTACACTGGCACCACAATCAACTATGTTACCTGTGCAGTAACTGACGTTCTTCGAGATGCGTGTCCTCTTAGGCAGGGCTCGACAAATCCGTGTATCTACTTGCCCATGGCGAGTAGATTTCAGCTGGTCTCCCCTTTTTGTGGCGGCGCGCGCATGCGCACTGCGGGTCTGGCGCATGCGCGGTGCGGGGCTGGCAAGTGGATTTCGCCGTGTTTTGTTGAGCCCTGCTCATAGGTGCTCCGTGACCCTCCCTTTCTTTCCTCTGCTTCAGAATTCTGGCCTCCTTAAGGGGTCTCGTTCTGGGTCAGAGAAGGAACTGGGGGGGAAGGGGTTACACATGCACGATGCCTGGAAACTAGGAGTGCGCATATGCGGATGCGCACATGCGCTGCCCCAGGGACACTATTCTGAAGACTCCGATTGAAGGCTTGGCGGTGGCACACCAACCTAATGTGGAGCACCCACAGGGACACTCATCTCGAAGAACATCAGTTACTGCACAGGTGAGTAACCTCCTCTTTTAAGTTCATATTTCTAATATCCTGTAGTTGCTGGTGTTCTGAACTTCCTGTTTTCAAAGCTGTGAAGTGTTGCATAATATGGAGAGCAAAAGAATGATAGCTGGACATATACTCCCTCAAAATAACCAAAGAAAATACTGCTCTTCCTGTGTTACTTAATCTTTTTGTATCCTGTGCAACACAGTTTGAATTGAGCAATTTACAGATGACTATCCAGGGAACCTTCGTGTAGCTTTCCCAGAAAATGTTTTGAAAACACACGCCATGTGGTGTAATCCAGTGTATTTCTAATGCAAAACACATTCTCTCTTGTGCTTCTTTATATGTCAGGGATGAAAGTTATTTTTGCAGGAATGGTTCAGTCGTGTCTAGAAAGAAACACAGTTCTACCAAAGCCTGGGCAATCTCCTTCAGACTTCCTTAACTTCAAGCTCTGTTGTACAGAGCAAACCTATAAATGTCTAGCATTCTTTCGGAAAAGGATACAGTTTTGAAAATCCACTACAGTTTTGAAAAAATCACATTTCCCTCTGAAAAAATTTGTACCTTTTATTTTTACAAGTAAAAACTAAGATGACTATGTCCAAGATTGGGGTTGGGTGGGAACTTTTTAATTTGTCTACTTTCTACTTTTGGCAACACCTATTCTGCTGTCTTGTTTCTAGTCACTTACATTTCCCGTCTCCTACACCAGCATGATGAAATCACTCATTCATTGCTTGGTGGGGTGATAACATGTACATTCATCCTATTCCTTGCATGAGGATGTTCATCAGGATCAGCAACAAGAACAAAAAACCTGAAGTGCCAGCTGCCCAGTGGTCAAGCATGTGCACAGCGAAGAAAGGAGGTATGGGCCCTGGATGTGTTTTGTACTGGTACTCTTGAGCCTAACCAGAAGGATCCCGCCAAACTTCATTAGAGGAACAGAGCAATCCTAATTTGAATAAATATAAATAAATTTAAGGGATGCTGTTGAATGGCTGCTCTCCCAGAAAATGACTTTCTCCCCTTAAATGGCATAACTAAACAAACCCGCTCAAAATCTAGCATTGATCTGTTTAGAATATTGGTCCTGTGAATTTTATTTGTTAACCTTGTAACAAACAATTGGTGTTTTTCACTTTCAGTGCATCTTTCATGACTAAAACTGTGCCTTGTGGGAATGAGCTTCATAAATTTCTGATCTGGGATACAGCAGGTCAGGAGCGGGTGAGTGTCACTCTGTGATATGTTCTGTTACAATAATATTTAATACTTACATGCCACTTTTCATCTTCACAAACACGTTTAATGAATTCTCACACCACCTTGTGAAGCAGGTTTCAGTTACTAAATATTACAATTCCCATTTTACAGATGGGAAAACAGAAGCAGACAGGTTAAGTGACTTGCCTAAAAGCAGAGAACACATCATCAAGTACAAACTCCCAGCCCTCTTCTACAGGCCCTGTGGAAGGCTGTTTCTTCTTGTATATTGCTTGTAGAGGCTGATTCTGATCTCTTACTCTAGAGCAGCGGTTCCCAACCTTTTCCAGATGGAGACCCATTTTGACAATTCAGGAAGACTTGGTGATCCAAGGCAACTCAAAAACAGGGGGAGAGGGGAGGGCAGAGCCACCTGGGGAGACACTTTGCGACCCTTTTGAAATGTAATGGCGACCCATATTTGGGTCCCGACCCACAGGTTGGGAAACCCTGTTCTAGAGGATCACATACTTCCTGCAGCTTCCCTTGGCTGGAATTGATGAATTGGAGCCAATGGGAGCTGCGAGGCTCTGTGGCTACAGATCCTTTGAGAAACACTGGTCTAGTGTTTTATGAACCCCCAAATATTCCTCAGGCAAATGGCTATGGGCCACATCTAACACAGCCTTCCTGTGCTCATGGGGTAGAAGCTGATCCAATTCTTGCTCCCTTAGCTGGACCATTCTATAATAGACCTTGTTTATAACAAAGTCTGGTCCTGGACATTTGGTTTTCCCCACTTCTGGAGCCCCATTTAACTCGAAAATTTCTTTTCTAATATTTCACTCCTCTGGTTGGTTCCCAGATAGTGAGGAGGAGGAAGCGATCTGACTCAAATACAGAGGGACAAAAACTGGACTAGGGCTGGGGGCTTATGGAATAGATTGGTACAAAGAGCATGAGGGAAGGTATGTGTGGAAAGACTGGGATTAGGAGATTTGGGAGGGAACAGGAGATGGTGGAAACTTGGAGACAATGGACAGGGGAAAGGCAAACTGATATTGGATGAGGAAACTGGGTGTGGAGGGAGATGGAAGAAGATAGGGATTCACTGGGCAAGGAAACTGGGACTGAGAGACAGGGTGAGGGGAAGATGAGGTGTTGTTGGGAGACTGGGATGGGGCAGAAGGAGTCAGGTTAGAGAGAAAGAGAGGCAGAAAGGTATGGCTAATGCAGAACACTCCCCTACAGAGAAAAACACAGGATTCCTGAGTCTCCCTATTCTTGTGCTATTAACAACTATCTGTGAAACCCACTGGCAATATGCATAGCTCATACCCTTGGTCCACATAGAGGATAACAGCATATAACTGCTACCTGCTACTCCTTTAGCTCTGGTGGCAGAGATCTGTGTAGTGGATTTAAAGGTTCTAACTCTCCTGATAAATCAGGTGGGTTTGAATAGGGTTCCACACGATGAAATTTTTTCTTCCACTTAGGTTTTTGTATATACTTGATTAGTTAAAAAAACACATTAAAAGACTATTAAGGTTGCTAAGTCAAACACTGAGAATTTAGGAAGTGCCAGAATTAAGCTTGTCTGTGCAATCAGCAAGATTTAGTGTTGATATCCAACTATTTTTTGCGTGTGGTGGGCTTTGTGCGTGTGTGTGTGTGTGTGTGTGTGTGTGTGTGTACCCACACTCACATATATATGGTATTTTAGTGACCTTAGATATCAAAGATTTGGTTTTGCTCTCCCAGATTTGTATTTTCTTGTTTACCCACAAGAATTCTCTTTTCTTCTTGTTTATTGCCAAACAAAACTTAATTCTCAGGCATATAACTTATATACCTCTTGACCACTAATCCTTTCTCCCAGTAAAATACTACACTTCCATGTCCCTTCTACCTGAGAATCTCAAAGCATTCTGTGAACATTATCATGCTATGTCTTACAAACAGTCTTGTGAGACAGATAACTATTAACTAATCTTATTTTACGAAGGCAAAGAGATTGAGTGATTTGACCATGAAATCTGCAGGAAGTCTGTGACAGAACTTTGAGACTCAAATGTGTGCAATAGCCACAATACAACTGTTCCTCACTAAGTTGTTTTCTCTTTTTAGTATGGCATTACCACAAGTATGCATTGATAGCCATCATCTTTGGGTGTGTCTAGACTACATGCCTCCTTCGACGGAGGCATGTAGATTAGCCAGATCGGGAGAGGGGAA